CTCTCTCTCTCTCTCTCTCTCTCTCTCTCTCTCTCTCTCTCTCTCTCTCTCTCTCTCTCTCTCTCTCTCTCATGTATGGTGGGTGTGTGTGTGTGTGTGTGTGCACACGCATGTATGTGTGTGTGTGCGTGTCACAGCGTGTGCGTGTGTGTGTGTGGGGGGGGATGGATTGTTTTGGTTTTTTTTTCCCCGTTTTTATGTTCTTTATTTTTAAAATATATATGAACTTAAAAAAAAAACAATAAAAAAAATGGGGTCGCTGATTTCCAAAATATTTACAAGGCCATATTTTTAAAAATTTATTTTCTTATTTTTTTGCCCGCAAAAAAAACTCCGTGATAAAAAAAAAGAAAAACCCACCCATTTCATTTTTTTTGGTTATTTTCTTTCCTTTACGTTTTTGATTTTTTTAAAATATAGAGAAACTTCAAAAAATAAAATAAAAAATATACGGTCGTAGATCTCAAAAGGATCTACAACCCTATATTTATTTTGTTTTTTTTTTGCTTTCTTTTTTCGGGGGAAAAAAATCCTCCCGCGCCCACTCAAACCCCGCTCAAGCGCTTTTGAGCGCGGGATTGAGCCGCGCTTAAAAACACGACCACCGGGCCCGCGCTCAATCAGCGCGCGGTTTCACAGGTGCAAAGGGGTAGGCCATAGGCCCACTGGACAGAAGATTTTCAGTATTTTGCTTGCTGTTGTGCAATTATCTCATTTGGTGGGTGGAGCCCTCCTTCAATCACGGGGTATAATATGGAGGGAGTGAGGATCACTGCTGACAAAGTTGAATTTATTCCAGAAAATGTGGCAGTTACTTTCTGCAATGTTGTTGCAACCACCACCATAAGATCATTTGTGATCTGATGGCTGGGAAGCACTCTGCCGTGATTTCAGGTGGGAGGTCTCTGTTTCTTTTTTTTCTTTTTGCCTTTCTCCTGTTTTTTTTTTTTTTTTTTTTTCGGTCTCCTGTTTTCTCACCCCAGAAATTCGTAATGAACCTGTCAGGCCGCTGCCACTCAGTGTCACACTGGATCGGCCACACTCCTATCCCACTTCTTCTTCTTCTTCTTTTTTTTTTTTTTTTTGGAAGAATTTGGTCATGTAATACCAAAGCAATGGGACGAGGTCGGGGACCTCAAAATTCTACCCGGATCCTATCCCACTTCTAATGGGACCACACTGCAGCTACGGGGTTCCCTGACAGTGTAATAAGAATACTACAATGATAAGAAAAAGGCCTGAAACGCCGTCCTATCCTGCCCCTATTTGACAGGTAATTCGATTGGTTGGGCTTCAACCAGCAGTACCTTTCCCTGCTTGAAAAACAAATATGCTTGGCCTCGCCACACCACTCTTGAAACAGCGTTTTCAAGAGTTTGGACGCGTCCCCACACAGCCACTTGAGAGCTGTAGCCCGAAAACTCTTTCGAGAGTTGTCAGAACCTCATTTCACGAGTAGCACTCGAAACTCGAAAACGCCCAGCCTGCAACACTGCTCTTTTCAAGCTTCCTCCCGAGGGCACTCGAAGGGCCCTTGATTTTCGAGAGGTGTCAGGCCGTTATCCTGACGCCATTCGGAAACAAACAAAGCTGTACGACTGTCGTTTTTCATCGTTTGTCCAACACCATCGCCCTTTCGAGAGTGCTGTGTGGCGAGGGGCCCGGAACACTTGAAAACCCAACTCTTGAGAACGTCTGACAGCTCTTGAAACAATTCCCCGTTTCAAGAGTGGTGTGGCGAGGCCCTTATTGGGCTGAAATTTTTGCCAAGTCGTCGGACTGATACATCAGCTACAACCAACCATGGGGCGACCTGGACGTAGTGTGTCGAGGCCCCAGGGGCCATGCTAATCTTCTCTGTATCGTTCCAATTTTAACGGATGTCCCGAAGCGAAGGACACCAAAAAACAATGGGCCTTGCCACACCACTCTCGAATCTCGAAAATTCGTGAGTCGGGCACNAACGGATGTCCCGAAGCGAAGGACACCAAAAAACAATGGGCCTTGCCACACCACTCTCGAATCTCGAAAATTCGTGAGTCGGGCACTGCCACACAGCATCTCTCGAAAAAAAAACTCGAAACTGTTCGAGAGCTGTCAGGAAGGCATTTTCGAGTGTCATGTTTTAGCCCAGCCTGCAGCCTTGGAGTTTTCGTGATTCCGCCCGTCCGCGCTCGAATTCGATGTCCATTTCGAGAGTTGTCAGGCCGTTTTCTCGTGATACCGCCTGTCCACACTCGAGGTAGACCATTTCAAGAGGCCGGTCTAGTGTGCTATGTGGCGAAGGGCCATTTTCTCTCGAAAACCGGCCTCTCGAAAAATCCTGACATCTCTCGAATATTTTCGAGATTCGAGAGTGGTGTGGCGAGGCCCTATGTCCTAGCGTGAGTACTTCCTCTTTTCCCCACACCTACCCCTCTTCCTTCTGAGCGTACTCACACTACAACTTTTGTGGGTCTATATGACTGCAGCGTATGTGGCCGCAATCACGTCCAAAACGGATGATTCCCTCTTTTCCCGCACCTACCCCTCTTCCCTAGGAGTCATTATTGCTGTACCCAGACTGGAAGTAACCCCCCCACACACAGCTATAATCACCGTGCGTTCTATTCGGGGGCTAGGTCCCACTTGCACGAATTAAGAGATACTGACCGTAGATAGCAAAGATCGACGGCCGAAATCTCCTAATCCGTGCAAGTGGGACCTTGCCCTGGGAGAAGAGAGCAGCGAGGACCCCCTCACAACGTTCAGATGAATACGAAGTCCCCTTTCCCTTTCCCCCACACATGAGGCCCGACGATGAGCGTGTACTCACACCAGGACTGTTTCACTGACCTTTGGACGTAATTGTCGTCCGATACGTTCAGCACTGGCTGTAATCACGGGCTGATGCATTCAGGAAACCGCCAGTGTCCGTACACTCTGAAATCCCCCCGTTCTTTTTTTTTTTTTTTTTTTTTTCTCGATTTATGCCTGTCATCCCTGCGCAAGGGCCATGCTAATCTTCTTTCTCTCTGTATCGTTCCAATTTTAACGGATGTCCCAAGGACAACCCGCCCGTTCTCTCAATGACGGCCGTCGTGTTTTGGGAGTATAAATAAAGGCACGACGGATTGAGTCTCATCGGAGAAGCCACACTCGATCACTCTCTTCGCGCAGGCAGGTTGGTACATCTCTTCTCCTCGTCATTTCTTTCCTCCGGCCTTTCGGCCCTCTCTCTGCGTGCTTCTTGTCTCTCCTCGTTCCTTTCTCCGGTTCTTTCTTCCCTGAGGCTCTCTCTGCTTTCTTCTTGTCCTCTCCTCATTCCTTCCTCCTCCCTTGATGACCCTCTCTCTGCGTTCTTCTTGCACTCTCCTCATTTCTTCCTCCTCCCTTCATTACCCTTCCGTTTGGTGGGGGGGGAAGGCCCTACGTCGTTTTCGAAGCCTTTTTTTTTTTTTTTTTACTT